ATTCTTATACTTTTTCAGTTAAATTTACACCTAAGTAATTTATATTTTTCTTATGCTATTGTAAATGGAATTATTTTCTTGATTTCATTTTCATTATTTGATTTTATTTTAAAAAAGATAGGACCAGAGATTTAGCTTAGTGGCATAAGCACCTGCCTGGCAAGTGTGAGGTTATGAGTTCAATCCCCAGTAGAAAAACAAAAACAACTTATAAATTATTGGGCCAGGGATTTAGCTCAGTGGCATATGCACCTGCCTGGCAAGCACGAGGTCATAAGCTCAATCCCTGGCACCAATAAATAAATAAATGAATAAATAGAATAAAACAAAATAAAACCAATCAAAACAAACCAGTGTGATACAGGACTTCAGAACATTACAAAATCAACAATAGTTACCATAAGGCCTTTTGATATCATCAAAATAGCTGTAGATAACTTCAGACATAAAAATCAAACAGAAGGGGCTGGGGATTTAGCTCAGCGGCATAAGCGCCTGCCTTGCAAGCAGGCAGTCGTGAGTTCAATCCGTGGTACCGATAAATAGGAAAAAGACAAAAAAAAAAAAAAAAATCAAACAGAATAGAATAAATAGAAACAATAGAAACAAAACAATGAATGCAATAAAGGACTTCAAAACAGGACAATAGTAAATCCAAAGTTGCTACCATAATATATCTTGCTATCCCTGAAACAGCTGCTCTTGCCACCGGATTTGACATAATTAAACAAAACAAAAGAGAATAAAACTCAATCTAACAAAACAATGGAAATGATATGGGACTTCCAAAACATGACCACAGGGAATCAACAATGGTTGTAACCTTCAGAAGATGTCCCCCTAGATGTCACATTGTGTATCACTATCCTCTGAACCTGTGATCAGACCACTTGGCCCTAGACCTGCAATGTTAGTGAAACACCAGAGCACCACAGGCATCCAATTGCATTTCACCTCCGTAGCTATTATCACAACTGTGTTTCTTCAGATAAGCTGGTTGCTTACGCATGGGGTAGGGGAGTGATGTTGATATTTCTTGTTTGCCAGCCGGTGCACCAGAAGGGGCTGGCTGAGGTCTGGCTGTTCCCAGTCTGGCGGTGGCCACGCATGGTGCTGGTTCCCAGACTGGGCTTGCTTGCTGGTGTGTCTTTGTTCTCTCTACCCCTGGTCCATGAATCTTGATTTCAATTTTGAATTGTCCATTGCAAGTATATAAAAATGAAATTTTCATATATTGATTTTAAACTCTGCAACGTTGCCGACCTAATGTTCTTCTGTTATTTAGAAGTGCAAAAATACTAGCTTTTTATTATTTTTAAGCTGACAAATAAAATTGTCTACATTACCGTGTTTAGCATGTTTCAAATTGGGCACCTATACAGAATGGGTAAACTGTGTTAATATATGTGACTAACTATGTAAATTAGGGGCACATACCAGCTATAATGGTCTCTGGGTATATTAGCTAATATACAGAATCTACTCAAATTTCCCCAGTTCAAATAACATCCTTCACAATCAAGGGAGAAAACATGTCCCATTCAGGACTCTGAATTGCATTTGGTGTCAAGTCACTTCATCTTCTTTAGGCTGTGACACTTGAGCACACCCTAGCCCTCTTGTCTCCTTGTGGTTACACTGAGCTCATCTGGATTACCTGGGATCAGCCTTTCAGGATACCAATTTCATCTCAAAGTGCTAAGGAAACAGTCACAGATTATTTTTTATTTTGAAACAGGGTCTCACTAAGTTGACCAAACTGGTCTCAAACTTGTAATCCTCCCAGACCTGGTATTATAAATGGCACAGCTTTATAAGGAATTAACTGACATATGTACAGGGATGAACAAATTCAAATCTCCAGACTAGACTGGCACTCTTGAAACCCAGGGTAGCTAATGGTACAGACAGTCTGAGAACAGGCTGCTCCAGAATCCTGCCTATGGCAGATAAGGTTAGTCTTCTGCTGTAGCCAAGCTTTAACTGAATAGCTAAAGCCTCCACACTGCAACCTACCTTCCTGATTAAAGTGTTAAATCTCATCCCAGAAGAATGTTTGGCCACAATATCTGAGCACTCAGTGGCCCAGCCAAGGTGACACATGAAATTAACTGTCACTTGAAGAGTTGTGTAGAGAAGGCCACCTTGACAGAAACAGCAGCCATCAGTGAGAGATGTAGCCAGGTTGCTGCACCCCTGCAGGAAGGGGGCCAGAGACTGCACACTCTGAGCTCACCTTACTCTCTCCAGGCTCATTTTCATTGTTTGATTTTATCTTTAAAAAGATAGAGCCAGGGATTTAGCTTAGTGGCATAAGCACCTGCCTGGCAAGTGTGAGGTTATGAGTTCAATCCCCAGTATAGGGATTGGATGCAGCTGGAGGCCTCCTGGTGCCCTTATACAGGACTGAAAGAACAGACGATGATGTATTCTTTGAGAGCAAACACCATGATTGCAAAGAACTAAGAGTATGCCTAGAAGGACAAATGGAAGATATTTTACATAGGAGGTTATGCTGCAGTAATTGGTAATTCCAGCAGAATCATTCAAAGTAGAGAAAGAAAATAAAAGCAGAAATCAGAACAATAGAAAATGTACAATTGACAGTTACTATAAAAATACCTGAGATTACTAACTTAGAAAGAGAAAGGTTATTTGAGCTTATAGTCTGGGAGGTTGCAGTCGAGGATCAATTGTCCTATTATTTCGGGCCTGTCACAGGCAACGCATCATGGCTGAGAGCAGATTGGAGAGTAAAAGACCACTTACCTCATGGCCAGGAAGCAAAAGGAAGTAAAGAGAAGGTCAGTGTCTCATTATTCCCTTAAGGACATGTTCTCAGTGACCCAAGGACCCCGACAGGCCCTGCTTGTCCACAGTTCCTCCACCTCCTGAGAGCACTGCTCTGGGGACCAGGCTATAGCATACAGGTCTCTGAGAGATCTTTACAATCTAACCTGTGTTAGAGAACATCAACTAAGTAAAAGTTTGTTCTTGAAAAAGAATAAACCATTTCTGGTAACACTAATCAAGAGAAAAAGAAGTTTCAGCTAATGCTAAGAATAAAAATTAGATATGAGTTATCATAGTTTTCCACAATATCCCACACTGGTCCCATGTGCTCTCTCTTCTCCTTACTCAGCCCAAGCTCATTCTGCTGGGCCAGTGTGCCTCACACTCTTCATTTTTACTTTCTCTAATAAACTGTGCAAAAAAAAAAAATCAACTTTAGCACATTCATAGAATAATATAAATAGGACCAAGGATTTAGCTCAGTGGCATAAGCATCTGCCTGGCAAGCATAAGGTTGTATGTTCAATCTCCACTACAAAAAAAAATTTCTTTTAGAATAATACAACTATTTCGGGGCTGGGGATTTAGCTCAGCGGCACAAGCGCCTGCCTTGCAAGCAGGCAGTCGTGAGTTCGATCCCTGGTACCGATAAAAATGAAAAAAGACCCCCCCAAAATAAATAAATAAATAAATATAATAATACAACTATCTAAGTTGGGGAAGCAAATAAGTTTTAGGAAAGGATTATCTTCGGGATATCAGCTGATGATAAGTGTCAGTGTGAGCTAGTCTCAGCCTCAGAGAAGTCCTAAATAATTGAGTTTTCTGAGACCAGCCTTGGTTAATGGTACATAGTTGTTAGTTTCTAGGTGACATAGTTTCTGAGTGACACAATTACCTCCCACTGTGCCTCAGCTTTCAGCCAAGAAGTATTAAAAGTTACAGCAGGATTCATCTACCCTGTGGGAAATTAAGCATAAATCTGTTATAATAAAAGGCAACATAGCTGGGTATAGCGGCACATGCCTGTAATCTCTGAATTTGGGAGGCTTAGGCTAAGGATGACTTTGAGTTTGAGGCCAGCCAGGGCCTTCTGAGATGCTGTTTAAAAAAAAAAAAAAGCAACATAATAAAAGGAAGGGCAAGGACTAACTTCCTATCAAGGTAGCCATCAAGGCTTGCCTTGGTAATTGCAGAAAATGATCAGCAGCTGAGTTAACCAAGGATCATGAGCAAAGATGAAGTGGGCAGAGAAAGCCAGGCAATGGCCCTGACTAAGTCCCTTTTTAAACCAGTCATGGTGATGCACATCTGTAATTCTACAACTGGAATGGGAGGCTTAGACAGAGTTCCAAGTTTGAAACCAGCCTGGGGTACATTGTGAGTCTCTTGTCTTTAAAAAAGAAAAAGAAAGCAGGTCCATTTCTTAACCATTGAAAGTTGATTGATTAGGGCAAGAAAGGTACAAAAGGAGCTTGGAATATCTTGCTACGCCAGAAAGCAAGACAGCTATTAAATAACCTACTGGGTTTAACAGGACTTAGCTAACTCAAGAGAAAGGCTTCTACTGGCCACAAATGGGGCAATGCAAGTTTTGATAAAGATAATTTCAATGGACTGAAAGTCACCAAGTAAGTTTGAATCCAAGACTTCAGAGTACTTTAAAAAAGTTTTCAGCTGGGCATGGTGACACAAGCCTGCCATTCCAGCACTTGGGAGGCTGACACAGGACTGCTGCAAGTAGAGGCCAGCCTGGGCTGCAAAGTGAATTCAAGACCCGTCAGAACATAGTGAAATCCTATCTCAAAAAGACCAAGAAAAAAGGGCCAGGGATTTAGTTCAGTGGCTCAAGCACTTACCTGGTGAGTGAGAGGTCCTGAGTTTGATTGCTGGTACCCAAAAATAAAGATTTGGAAAAAGACCCCCCAAAAAAGTTAGGGAGACTACTCATTATTTTGGAAACTGGCAAATAAAAAAGAATCAAGTAATTATTCTTGCATCCTTAATAAGTTCCATCTCATGGTACCCAGACAGTTAATGAGGTAAATTTGCTCTTTTGAAAATTTTCTAGAAAATTAAAATATCACTATTTTTGTAATCTGTAGTGAAATAATGGACATGGGCAATGATTATCAAATGGCTGTTTGTAGCAGAGAACCATCGTGTACCTCCTGACTGATGTACCCAACACCACTTATGAACCACTCTTGAAAAATAAAAGTTTTATTTTTAAAGAGGAGAAAACCTCACAAAATTTCAGAACAAGACAGTAGGGGAGTAACAATTGTTTAACACATTACATGTTGTCATCTTTGCATTGTTACTCTGAGTACAGGATGTCCAGACCGGCAGTTAGCTGTCCAAACAATATTAGACACCCTCTTCTCAATGAGATGAGAGAAACTAGTAGTGTAACCATCTTATCTACCTGTGTATGTACAATTTGTTTTTATTTTTAAGAGGATAAAATAGAATAAAACTAATCAAAACAAACCAGTGTAAGCAATACAGGACTTCAGAACATTACAAAATCAATAATAATTACGATAATGCCTTCTGATGTCATCAAAATAGCTGCAGATAACTTCGGACATAGTAAAAGTCAAACAGAGCAGAATAGAATAGAAACAATAAAAACAATGATGAATGCAGTAAAAGACTTCAAAACAGGCCAACAGTAAATCCAAAATTGCTACCATAATATATCTTGCTATCTTTAAAAGAACTACTCCTGCCATAATCAAACAAAAGAAAATCCAATCCAACAAAACAATGGAAATATGACTTCAAAACAAGATCATAGGGAATGAACAATGGCTACAACTCTCAGAAGGAAATCCCTCCTACTAGATGCCACTCTACCTACCACTATCCTCTGAACCTATGATCAGACCCCTGCAATGTCATGAAACACCAAAGCACCGCAGGCATCCAATTGCATTTCACCTCCACAGCTATCATCGCAGCCTGTGTTTCTCCAGATAAGCTGGTCACTTATGGGGGAGGGGGGCTAAAGGGAGTTGGTACTTCTTGTTTGTCAGCCTGTGTACCAGAAGGGGCTGGGATTTGGCTGTTCCCAGTCCAGTGGTGGCCCCGCATGGCGCTGGTTCCCAGACTGGGCTTGCTTGCTGGTGTGGCCTTGCTCTCCCTTCCCTCCAAATCCTCGAATGGCACTGACTCACAGGGAGAGGCTTGGGTGTGGCTGATCCCAGCGGTGGCCTGTACATGGCTTCTTGTGTGTGCATAATTTTGCTTTTCCCTTCTTTTCTCCTTTCCCTCATCTGTTTTTGTTTCTTCCCAGAAAAATAAAATTTAAAAATATGAATCTGATGGTGTGTCTAGCTCTTATTATTAATTTACCAAAAAATAAAGTGCCACATATAAATGTGATGGAGACACAATTAGAAAAATGTATAATGAGAAATCCATAAAAAAAACTTAGTTTCACTGAGACTTCACAATGAAAATAGGTGACTAGAGATGGAGGGGAAAAAAAGATGGATGGGGAAGGAAGCGGGAAAGAAAGAAACAGTTGTAGAAGACACTGAAAGTATGACATCTAATTCTACATATATGAGTCCTGCTTGAATCCTGATTCAAAGCTACACACTTATAAGACAACAGAAAATATTAAACATTAATTGAATATTTGAAGGAATTAAGGAACAACTTCGTTTTTATAGGTGTGCAGCAGAGATGCATTTGGAAGTTTTTTTTTTTTTTTGTCTTTTTCCTTTTTATTGGTACTAGGGATCGAACTCATGACCGCACACTTGCAAGGCAGGTGCTTATGCCACTGAGCTAAACCCCCAGCCCCATATTTGAAAGTATTTTTAAGGATGAAATGACATGATGTGAGCTGGGTGTGGTGGTGCATTCCTATAATCCCAGCACTCGGGAGGCTGAGGCAGGAGGATCATTGCAAGTTCGAGACCAGCTTGGGATACAAAGTGAGCTCAAGGCCAGCCTGAACTGCACAGTGAGACCTTGTCTCAAAAAAAAAAAAAAAAAAAAAAAAAAAAAAAAAAAAACCCACAGAAAGAAAGAAAGAAAGAACATGATGTAGGAGACTCTAAATGTTCTTAAATAGATATAAAGGAAGGAAGGTTGGCCATGAGTCTGCTGTCTTTGAAGCTGGATTTGCTGAAGTCAGGTGATAAGCACCAGATAGATTACCATTTTGTTCATTTAAAAGTCTGTGTTATTAAAGGCTTAAAAACCTCCCTCCTCAGGAAGTTCTTCTTTCACAGACCACCCTAGCTAAGGTAGCCGAGTTTGCCCCATGCTGGTTAGCGTAACACCCTACTGCTTCATGGACTTAGGTCAGTGTTGCTGTATGTATTCATGAGTTTATTTCTATCTGCTACAATTTAGTTTCCACAAGAATAAAAGTTTCTCTGTTTGCTGCCGACCCTCTGGGGTTGTGGTAGCATCCAAAGGTACTTAATAAAATAAACGTTTGTTCCCTGGAAGAACAGATGCATAGAAGGGAAAAAGCTGGTTAAAGGGCAGAAACACATGCTAGACAAGTACTAACAAAGAAACATATTTGTAACAGTACCCTCCCCAAAGTTACCAGAAAAGAAAGGGAGATTTAAATAAAGCACTGTGGCTTTTTTAGCTGTCTCTCCAACCTTCTGAGAAAAATAAACAGGATTCATAATTGTTATTAGCCACAAACTCTTTCTTTGAATAAAAATAATTCAATGTGTAAAACATGACAGCCAAAGCAGATTTATTGCTATAGTTTAGTCTCAAAAAAATAAAAATAAAAATAAAAATAAAATATCATCCAGTGGTTATGAGGAATCGAGGAAAACCTGTCCCAGCAACGCCAGCTTAGAGGTAAAGGGCTGACTGGGGCAGCTGAGAAGTGAGGTTTTCTGCTTCGCCGGCTTCTCCCTGGGCTCGTCAGGAGAGGACAGTGTTCCAGGCCCTGCCGGGGGTGCCCAGGGCCCCGAACTCACTGTCTTCTTCTGGAATCCTGACCTACTCCGTTTGAGAGAATAGAATTCCCTCATCAAGTCTTCCACTTCCCCCTGCTCCTCCTTCAGTCTCCGGCAACAGTGCAGGGCGGCAGGGTCGATGGGATGAGCTTCTGTGTTGAAGATGTAGCCCCCAGCCCCGAGGATGCACTCCCCATAGGGGGTCATCACGGCATCGAAGGTGGAGCCATTGTTGTGGATAAAATTGGTGGGGTCAAACAGAAGGTAGAGGTATTTCACAGTCTCGGCCAGGAAGAAGGACTCCATGCGGTTGTCAAGCTTGTGGTCTCGGAGATCTTTGATCTGCCCAGGGGAGAGAGCGAGTCAGAGCAGCACAGCAGTGAGGGTTCCTGGCTGAATCACTCAGCCTCTCAGAGCCCCGCTCCTTTCTAAGCCACTGTCATCTCTCACCTGGACCATCACAACTGCTTCCAACAGACTTCCTGCTGCCCACCAAACTTGTGATATGTTTACTGTCAGTCACCTTCTTCTCATCCCCCTGTGTCAACACCTCACTTCACCAAGGCTAAAAGCCCAAGCCTGTGACTCCTCATGACTCGGCCCTGCTCCCTCCCTGGTCAGTCACCTCTGGAGTCCTTGCTATAGCAGCTCCAGCCACTTGGCCTTCCCATTTCTGAGCTGGCAGGAATCCGCTGAGGTGCTGTCCCCTCAGTTTGCAGTACTCTTCCTCCAGGTCCACCCTCTCTCCCCACTTTCTGTCCCCTCCTTCCTCCTTTCCTTCCTCACACACCTCCCTCACTTTCTTCAGGTTTCTGCTCAAATACTGCCTTCCCAGAGAGACCTTCCTTCCCTTTCCTCACAACAGGACAATCTCCTATTCCTTTTACACTACAGTTTTCTGACTATTAACTATCACAGAATATTCCATCATCAAAATGCACCATCAGTGCTCGCTTCGGCAGTAACAATATACAAAATGCACCATCATTTGCTTGGCTAATCCTCAACAGGCATTGAGATGGTCACCAAGTTTTTCCTATTATAAACAACAAGAGTCTAAGAACATTTCAGCTAAGTTTATAGGCATAGGGGAGTAAGGTAATTTGCTACAAATATTTTTAGTCTCTCCAAATCAGCAGTATTATTTAAATAAAACTATACTCCTCAGTGGACATCTATCTTACATTTAAAAATGTGGCTCAAATATGGACTTGATGCACTGCATTCAATTCCTGACCTGTTTGGCAAAGATCCGATGCCTGTTCCCATCATGCACCCTGGAGGCTTCCAAAGAGCTCTGCTTTCATGGAAACAAGCCTTGCATTCCCAAGAAGGCCCCAGTGGACCTGTTACTTCGGTTTTTCACAGAACACACTTTGGAAACTAAAACATATCACCGCTGTATTTTCCTCTATACACACGAGTCTTCTCTTTCAAAATATGGATTGTATTTTATTTAGAGAATATTACAAATTTTGCATAAGTATTTTTCCTGTTTTTTTTTTTTAAATCCTACATCCTAACAAGAACTCTGTAGACTTCTCAGGAAATTTTCTTTCATACTTATTTTCTTACATATCTGTTGCTAAGTGTCCGTAATGACAGTTTATTAATATCTTGTCTGCTTGGGTCCCATAAGGATATGTCCTGGCTCTCACTCTTGACCCTTTTTCAATCCACTCCCTAGAGTGGCCAGAGTGACATTTCTAAAATTCAAATCAGATCCCAGCATTGTGGTAGGTCCTCCCATGGCTTCTCACTACACAGTGACCCAAACCCAACTTTCTCACGGCTTACGCGAGGCCCTCTCTGACCAGCCCCTGCTTACTTCTGAAGCTTCCTCTTCCCTGCTTCCTTCTTGCTCAATCTACCCCATCACATTGGCCTCCCTTCATCTCCCAGACACACTTCTTTGTCTCTCCCACTTAAGTGTGAGTCCCATGGGAACACAGCTTGCTATTTCCCTGTGACTGTAACCCTGGGGCCCAGCACACGTCCTACACGCTTAAGACATCTGATAGCACCTGTTACACTAATAGGGCCATTTTGTTAAGAGGACCTGGATTTGAATGCAGGAATATGCGGCCCTGGATTTCTCTTTCTTAGTTTTTCTGACATAGGGTCTTATTGTATAGCCCAGGCTGGCCTCAAACTCAACGCAATTTCTGTCTTAGCCTCCCAAATAATAGTACATGCAGATGCCACTACGCCCAGCTGGATTTTTCTTTTTTAAAAACCATTTTATACAAATTCACCTTGCAAAGTTGCCTACCTAATGAGAATAAGGATCTCAAGTACAGGGAATAGCAAGGGCCCGGGATCATGACTAACCCTAAATTGCCTCTTCCAGCATATGTGACCTTTGGCAAGGCTCTTAGCTTCTCTGTTCATTAATTTAAGTCCATCTCCAAGGTCCCCTCCTTGGGGGTGGGGGGGGCTACCAGTCTAGCACTGCCAACACCCTACCCTTGAAGAGGCTCTTCAGCGGTAAGTGAGCTGACGGCCCAACACTTGGGTCCCTGAAACACTTACCGTGGCAAATCCGCACTCCACCTTGCTGATTTTTTCAATGGACTCCACAGCATCTCTTCCAAGTTCCAGGAGGGTGGGGTCGCCCGTGGCACGGTAGAGGTACATCGCACTCTCAATGAGCTCTGCAAAGGCCAAAGCACACTTTCCTCACTCAGGGGCTGAGCAGACCTGGCTTGGGGCCCAATCAGGCAGGGACTCCTCCCTTTCATACACTGTCCATAGGCCCCACCTAAGAGGAATATGAGGTATCTCACCCAGTGCTGGGTTTTCAGAGCCAACACGCCCAAAGTCCAAAGCTTGGGGACCATTGTAAGCATAAGGAGGCTACAGTCTGTTTCCTAATCCTTGTTCCCTCCTTCATCCTTAGTGACAGAATCTCTGACTTCAGCCAAGCCATGGCTGCCTAGATTAACAATTCCCCAGAGCTAGGTGAGATTGGGGGTACCATGGAGAGCCACATATACCCAGAATATGAGACAGAAGCACATTTCTTTCTTTTGGTTTTTGAGCCGAACTCATTATGTAGTTTAGGCTGGTCTCAAACTATGTAGCCCAGGCTGCAGCTGAACTCACAGCAATCCTCCTGCCTCAGACAATGGAGTGCTGGGTTTACAGGTGTGCAACACCACACCCATACATTTTTTTTTTTGTACCCACCTGGAATTGAACTTAGGACCTCTCCCTTCCCGGGCAGGTGCTGTGCCCCTGTGCTATATCCCTGGCCAAGAAATGTATCTCTGACTCAATTAAGCTATTTTCTTCTGCCATTCACAGCTTAACCTAATCCTAAATAGCTTAAAAGAAGAGTATGAGCTTGGCATTCTATGGCCCTTGCACAGATAGGATTGACAAAAGGATGAAGGTAAGAAACTCGAGTGTCAACTTTCAGTCTAGCAAAGACACAGTCATTGGTCATTGTGTCCCAAATAAGATGAGTGCACCGCCCTATTCTACCCCACAACTGAAGTGTGAAGGAAAGACACAAGCCCTATTTTAAGGTGACTATTAGCTAAGAGCAGTGGGTCCTGATGAGGATATTTCTCTGAAAAAGGGGGAAATGTGTTTATTGCTTTCAAACATCTGTAGGACTGTAAAGGACTGTAAAGAAAAGAAAGTTTGGACTATCTCCTAAAGCCGGCTCAGTGGGGAGAACTGACGGCTCCATATGCCTTCCTCCTTTGTCACCACTCTCCCCCAACCCCACCATCTGCCCTCATCTCCTACTTCCTTATTTCTTCCTGGTCTTGGTCAATGATTCTCTGTCTTCTGATATAAGACTGAAAACTCCTCTTACTTTGGAGAAAAGGGCCATTGCCCTATTCTGTTCTACTTCTTCTTCCCAGTGCTCCGGGGCTCTGGACCAGTGCTGATCCACTGCTCGTGCTCTAAGATGCATACCAGGCACATTTCCTGGCCGACGAGCACAGACAGAAAAGACAGCGCTCTGTGGAAAGCCATGCTTCTGCGTTCTGCCGCAGGCCAGGTCAAGGCCAGCCTGTTTTCTCACCATCACGGGTACGCTGCCTATTACTTTACTTGCTCACATATCACACAGCCCATCCTTTGGAGGACAACAGTCCAAAGTTTTGATAGGACTTCGGGAGGTAAAGACCTTCAGAAGCCTTTATGCCAGAGCTGTGCTCCCAAACTTGCACCACAGCACAGCCCACTGGCCAGTCTAACCAGAGAGCAATATACCATCTCCCCTGTGCTGCTGTCTTGGAAAGGAAGGGTGACTGGACTAAGGCACTTCTAGATTCCTGGCAATAGTGCCTTGTTTTCCATCAGGACCTTCCTGCCAGCACGTCCTGCAGGCTGCCACTGTAAGTGAAGAGCTCCCTGTGACTGGGGCCGCCGGAGGAAGCTTTGAACTGCAGGACCTTTCATGTTCCTCTAACCTTGACACTGCATGAGCCCATATTTAGGCTCAAACTCTGATCTTCATCTTATCTACTGGTAACATTAGATCACTAGAGATGACTGATGCTTCTCTTAGAGTTTCCTTTAAAAAAAAAAAAATGCTATGAGCCATCTATGGCAGTGCATACCTGTAATCCTAAAACTGGGAGGGCTGAGGTAGGGGGATCATGAGTTCCAGACCTGCCTGAGGTGCATAGTGAGACTCTTGTCTCAAAAAACATTTTTGAAAATAAAGTAAAAACAACAAAAAATGACAATACATGAAACACCAAGAACAGCAACCCTTCAGAATTCTAAAGTGATTAATTTGCCCTGTGTAACTTGTTCACCCCGGTGAAGGTGAAAAGGCCCAAGAAGGCCTGTCCCATGGTTCGAAGATGTTAATTTAAAAACTATCCTGGTGTGGGGGAACCCATGCACCGACTAAGCTTCCAGCCTCTGACCCCTCTTTCCGTCTCTCCTCACAGGCTGTTCGCTTTCCTGCAGTAAATCAGAGGACACCAAGGCTGGCAGGGAACTGAGGCAGAGTCTTATGTGTGGACCCTCTGAATCTGAGCTGCCACTGGAGAAGGAAAAGATGAGGGTGCTAAGGCCTGCCCCATAACTCTGCTATTCCGTACAACGGAAGCGTTATCTACTTGGCCCATCTGTGGCAGTTTGCCTGCACTGAAATCTAAAAGCAGTAAGCTGATGTTTTCCTTCTTGTTCACTTTCCTGAGGTTGAAAATAACATGGGATTTAGTTAAGAGACCTGGATTCCAGCCCCAGCCCCTGTGCTTCAGAGGCTGGGCCACTGTGCCTCAGGGTCAATCCCTGGAAATAAGGGGCCAATCAGTGCAAAAAGGAAAACCACCCAGGGCCACTGGATCACATGAGGGAAAAACCTTGCAAGCACTTGGGAGGGATTAGACTATAAGGAACCAGAGCTCACAAGTTGGCCATGGGCCTGAGAGGCTGCTTACCCGGCCGAAGTGGATAACCCTCCCGCTTTTCCACAGTGTACCCCTGAGGAATGTTGTAGAACTCTGGGAGTCCTCCAAACTGCTTCCATACAGTGTAGTAGTTGAGGAAGGTCTTCATGGCATTATCAATGTCCCCAATGAGGCTCTGTGGAAGAGCAATGGTGATTAGATAGAAAATTAGCATAAAAACTCCCAAATACTGGGCGTGGTGTAATTTCAGCATTCAGGGGGCTAAATCAGGAGGATCACCATGAGTTCAAGGTCAGTTTGGGCTACATAGGGAGTTCAAAACCACCCTGAACTACACATTGAGCCCCTCAAACACACACACACACACACACACAATAGATAAAACCCCACATAAAGCTGGTGTCATGCTACACATCCATAATCCCAGCACTCTGGCAGGCTGCAGCAGAAAGATGGCAAGTTTGAGCCCAGCTTGGCAAGTTAGCAGTTTAGCAAGTCTTTGTCTCAAAATTAAAAAGAAATTTAAAAAAATTAAAAAGGGGGGCTGGGGGTTTAGCTCAGCAGCGTAAGCACCTGCCTTGCAAGCAGGCAGTCGTGAGTTCGATCCCTGGTACCGATAAAAAGGAAAAAGACAAAAAAAAAAAAAAATTAAAAAGGGCCAGCGGAAATAGCTCAGTGCAAAGGTCTTAGAATCAATCACCAATAACACAAAAAACAATTAAAACAACAAACAAACAAACTCTATAACTAACATCAGGGCAAAAACAACAAAGCCCCTGCAGACAAAAAAAAAGGTCATCCACTGAACTCTGACTCTGCTATTTATTCTCTGGGTGACCCTGAGCCAGGTAACTTCTTTTAATTTCACCTGTAAAATATAAAATTCAACACTTAACCTTACACTTTGTTGGGAGGAACTGAGTCTATACATTACGTCCCAGAACCTTTACAATGTTAATTACTAGCAGTTCTTTAATTCAGCCAGCTGCTTCAGAACTCTAATAGTAGATGGGCATGATGGTGCATGCCTGTAATCCCAGGACTCAGAAGGCAAAGGCAGGAGGATTGACGTAAGTTCAAGGCCAGCCTGAAATACACAGTGAGATCTTCTCTCAAAAAAAAAGAAAAAAGAAAAAAAGAAAGAAAAAGAGAAAGGGGGAAGAGAGAGAGAGAGAGAGACAGAGAGAGAGAGAGAGAGAGAGAGAGAGAGAGAGAGAGAGAGACAGAGAGAGAGAGAGAGAGGCCAGCCTAGATTATATAGAGTTTAAGACCATCCTGAACTACTTAGCAAGATCCAGTCTCAAAAAAGGAAGGGGGGGGGGGAGAGGACTAAGACTAACAAAAAGTTTATGTTAAGTCTCATTCTCATTCCACACCCTTCAAAAGATAACCATTTTATTATATAACTTTCCAGAGTTTCTCCAGAAAAATGTACACAACTACATTATTTTCCCTATGCTATACATATCCATTAGATACACTTTCCTTAAGTACATAAATTATATGCAGAATGCCTCCTCCTATTTATATAGTTGCATAGCGTTCTGTTGCTTAGACTACAATTCAACCAATTCCCTATAAATAGCAATAGATTTGGTTCCCATCTTTTGCCATTCATTATAACAATCAACGCTGTGTTAAACACTTCTATACATATTGCTTCAGATACATGCAAAGAACATTGGTAAGATCAACTTCCAGAATTATGGTAGCTGGTTCACAGCATATGTATTAATGTTAAGTCTACATAAAGGATCGTTTACCTAAGAAGTTTTGAAAAAACTCCTTAAGAATTTTTTTAAAAAAATGTTATCACCTCTGATTTACTCATAATATTGTAGTTCAACAGCAATATTCCTTTATACTTCCTTGGTTTTTGTTCTTTATGTAAAAAATGAGTTTATGTATTAATTTTAAAATTAAAGATATCTAATAATCCATTCCATTCAAATACAGGCATAGCTGAGTGGAGTGGCAGCACACAACTGTAATCTCAGCACTCAAGGGGTTGGAACAGGAGGGTCCTGGAGAGTTCAAGCCAGTCTGGGCTACATAGTGAGTTCAAAGTTAGCCTGAACTACACAATGAGATCTTGTCTCAAAAAAATAGAAACAAAAAAATAAATAAAATATAAACCTTTATTTAGTCCTCACTAATGCTTACCATTGAGCATTTAAAGTATTTTTAGTTTGGCTTTGCCATAAGCTTTGCTGCTGAGAATATACATACATAGTTTTTTTTATTTTTTGTTTTTGAGACAGCATCTCACTATGTAGCCTAGACTGGCCTTGAACTTACCATGATCCTCTTGCCACAGATCGCCACATCAGGTAAGATACATCTATAGTTCGTATCTTTTGGACTAGCATGATTTTCTTGAGGAATAAGCACAGCATGGAAACACACACAGGTCTAACGGGTGTGGTTAGGTCTTAGGACAAGGGTTTCCTGGGGGAAAACAGTCACAAAGAGTTTAAAGGAAACGGATTGCCAGATTCTCAACTTTCCTAAAATAGTTCTGCCCGAAAACAGGTTTTGTGTTTGCCACACAAAGGCAGGCGCCTCTCATCCTCACAATTGTCCTCTTCCCATTGAAGGCAGACAGTCTCCAAAAGAAGTGCTAAATGTTGCCCTGGGGTAGAAAAACTTCTGAGCACCAACCCAGGCTAAATTTAAAATTAGTAGAAGTGTAAAATATAAATGACTATAGGGGGCTGGGGATTTAGCTCAGTGGCATAAGCGCCTGCCTTGCAAGCAGGCAGTCGTGAGTTCCATCCCCAGTACCAATAAAAAGGAAAAAGAAAAAAAAAAAAATATATATATATATACATATATAAATGACTATAGCCAATGAGTAGCAAATTCTTTTGCAAATTAGATGATTTCTACTTCTCTGCTTTCAAAAAACTGAAAGAGGAACTGGTTGTCAAGAAAGAGATCATTAAAAATAATTTTTTTCTCAGGAGGCTGAGGCAGAAGGATCACTGAGAGTTCCAGGTCAGCCTGGGCTATGAAGTAAATTCAAGGCCAGTCTGAACCACACAGTAAAACTGTCTCAAAAAGACAAAAAAAAAAAAAAAAATTTTTTATGAAAGATAATTTTAACTATAAAAAGGCTGAATCATAGGATATTGCCATTTCTGTAGATCAAGAGGGTCTGAAGGCTAGCAATTTTATATGATTCAGTCTATATTCTTTTTTTTTTTTTTTTTTTTTTTATCGGTACCGGGGATCGAACTCACAACCACGTGCTTGCAAGGCAGGCACTTTTGCAGATGAGCTAAATTCCCAGCCCCTATATGATTCAGTCTAATAATCGAATGATTTTCAAGAACTGAATATTGCTATAATCAAATGTTTTCCATTTCCACCTATTTATGTATATGCGTAAGACTCCTCAGCATTCACATTTAAAACAATAAAAGCTGGGCATGGTGACACATGCCTAGAATCCCAGTACTCAGGAGACTAAGGCAGGAGGATCACTGTGAGTTCAGGCAGGGCCAGCCTTAACTGCACTGTGAGACCATCTCAAAAAGTCAGTAAATCCAAATCTATTTTATTTCAAGGAGAAGAAAAAGAAGAAAAACCCACACAGGAAGAGGCTTGGTAGTAGAAGCAGCAATGTGTTTGGCTTTGTGTATGCTATTCCTTGTATGTGAAATAAAATATTTTATTGATATGTCATATGGAAATTAGTTTTTAAAAAACTTGTTCAAATAATTTGTTTTGTAAAAAAATCAATAAATCAATAGATCAGTGAAAAATAAAAGAGATACCTATTCCCATTTTAGTAGTAAGTTATTATTCACACCTAAGTACATGAACTAATTAAAAACAAAAACATTCTACATATCACTAAGAAATGTATTTCCAATAAATTTATTTTTAAGGTTTTTGTTGTTTTGTTTTGTTTTATTTGAGACAGAGTCTTACTACATCATTCAAGCTGGACTTGAGCTCACTGTGGTCTTCCTGCCTCAGCATCCTGAGTGCTGGAATTAATGTCATTTTCATCAGCTACATACTAATATACAATAACTAAATCCCCCCAAAATTTTAACACTCAGCTTATGATCACAGGAAATTTTAAAACACTTTGAGTTTCTGTTACATAATTTTTGTTAACAAAACATAAGATAGTTTGATCAATAAAATGCTCTTAACATAAAACAAAATAGGAGAAATACTATCGAGGGATTAGAATGGAAATGAGTTCAGAGGAAAGAAGAAAGATATACAACAATTTATACTCTGATTAAAAACATTTTCCAAAACTCATATAAGTAACAAATTTAAAGACCTTACAAAAGATAGATCAATATTTAATATTATCAACAACTTCTCTCTGTGTCTGTTTCTCCATTTGTAGTAGAAGAGGATTGGTTAAAAGTACACAATTGGGGATTAGTTAAAGCAACTGCAGTTTATCTACACAATGGACAGGAGCGAGACCTAAAATAAAACTAAAAAGACCAATCCATGTATCACTAAACAGCAACCTCCAAAATTTAGTCTGCGAAAGTAAAAGCTTCCAAAGGATAACATACATTTCTACCTATTTAAAGAAAATGAGGGCTAGGTGTGCTGGGCACACACTTATATTCCAGCACTCAGGAGGCTGAGGTAGGAGGATCGCAGGAGTTCCTTGGGCTACACAGTGAGTTCAAGGCCAGCCTAAAGTACAAAGCAAGGCTGTCTCAAAACAAAAACCAAAAGAGAAAAAAAAAAAAAAAAGAAAAGAAATGAAGGATATAAAAATATACATATTTAAGTCTATGAATTTTTGTAAAAATACACAGAAAGCTGAGAACTAAGGCTACATGGGGCACAGGCGTAAGGATATGGGCTCCATATTCACTTCTTCCTGCCTTTATTCATGTGATTTTAAAATATATTACTAAAAAAATTTTTTTAAAAATACAATAAAATGTATTATTGTCTACCACATTACTATCTTTTCTTAAAAAAAAAATACAAAAAGTGTTTAAACCCATCTACATTACAAAACGTTTTGGTACATGAAATACTCAGCATACTGAGGGAGCAGCTTAGATGGGCTCTCGGGTCCCTTCCAGCTGTGACTCTGTCAGATTGTGTAGGGAAAAACGCTAGTGGTGGGCAGAGGAGGCTAGTGCAGGGCAGTGCCACGTGCCTGCAGTCCCAGCTACTCAGGATGGGAGGATCGCTGGAGCCCAGGTGTCCAAGTCCAGCCTGGGTAACATAGCAAGAGCCATCTCAAAAAGACAAAAAGAAAAAGATTTACATAACTGCAGTAGTCATCGCTGCCTGGGCTGGACAGACGCCATGTACCAAATCCTAAGTGGAATGACATTCCTCTGCAAAGTGGACACTCAGTGCCTGGCACCGTAATACCCACCTTGGGAAATCTGGTTTGGCAGAATCATGAATGTACCTAATTCACTCTAGGTTTCTCTTCCAACCCCAACCCTTGCCCCCTAAAAGTATTCAAGTAACTAAAGTTACCTGTTTGACTTACATATCAGAATACGCTTGCTTTGCCATTTCATAGAAAAAATGACCACCCTCTCTCACTGTTCCTACCTGAAGACCTGGCCAATAGGCCTCCAAAGACTGGAAGACGGGCATGGACACAGTCCCCTTGTACATCTGCACCCACAGGTACCAGTCACCGAAGCGCGTGTAATTCCGGATGGCCTTGTTATACTCTGCATCATGGAAAAAGGGGCAACAGACATGTGAGTGGCTGATGAGACAAAAGGCAGCCATGACATCGAGCTTCCAGAGCTTACACTCTGGGGAGATCAGTGATGATCTAGCTTCCACAAGGCCTAGATGCAATATAGAAAGCAGACTAGAAAGGATCACAGGTTCTAGAATCAGACTTCCAGCCTCACGTTACAGCTTTGGCTTTAATGTTGCTAGATCTGACCTTGGGCAAGTTTCTCCGTCTTAGGCCTCACTTTTATTATCTGTTAAATTGGGAAAGTAATGTTATGGACCTAGTGGGATTGGTCAGCGAATCTATTCACTCAACGAGCATTCAGATGTTCAGTGATCAACAAGACAAAGTCCAGCCCACATGGAGCAGATCTTCCTCTGGGAACTTGAACATATTCCTCTTCCCTGTGTTATAAACTGTGAGGTCTGGGATTTTGTTTTCTTCATTGCAGAATTCCCAATGCTTCCAGGCAGGGTGGTGCACAACCGTAATCCCAACACTCAGGGAACCAAGGCAGAAGGATAGTTGTGAGTTGAGGCCAGTTTGGATTACAGTGAGACTCTGTCTCCAAAAAAAAAAGACTTCCAAACACTATCAGAGTGCATAATAATTAAATATACACAATTATCTGAATGAACAAAACACAAAATATGCATAACAATAAATAGGATAATCTCAAAAAGTGTTATGAGGATTAAATGAAACAGTCCATGTTCAGAGCCTGGCATGGCACATCAATGGCACCCAATAAATATTTGCTGATTAAATGAATAGTAGCTGTAGTTATTATTATTAGCTGCTCAACAGCTCCCAAGATCACTGGTATGTGAGGGCCTATCAGCTAAATGTATTTATTCAACACACATTCATCTATTATCTACCTCACACAAAGGTCTGGGCAAACTACGGAAATGACTAAGGCATGGATTCTGCTCTGAACTGTACAGCTGTCATTGCTGATGATGGCTGACTCCAGGAAAGATGTCAAAGGTCCTAAACTCTACAAAAGAATCACACCATTTCCTGGGTAAAGTGATACTTCAACTGGACTTTGAAGGATAAACAGAATTTGAACACATGAAGACAGGAAAGAAGATATTCCAGACAAAGGAAACTCCATGTGCAATGGCCAGGAGATAAGAAATCCAGGCCAGGAACAGGGAACACAGAGAGGCTTAGGTGGCTCTTGTAAGATGCAATGGGCATCAAGTGGGCCATGTGGACTCATGCTGGCACGGAAAGCAGACTCAGATATTCTGAATTGACTTTGCACGCATTTGGGAGTGACTTGAAGTTTACAAATAAACCACTCATCAACATGAAGTCAGTCAAGTGTGGCACATGCGTATAATCCTAGCACTTCAGGAGGCCGAGGCAAGGATCACACAAGTTCTAAGCCATCCTGGGTTACACAGTGAGTTCAACACCAGCCAGAACTACACAGTAAGACACCATCTCAAATAAAGAAAAACAAAACAAAAAACCAGGGAAAGTCATTAAAAGCCCCCTTATCCTGCCCTTTTTACCTAGGAACATGGCCATGAGTTCCTTGTCCTGAAGCAGGATGGCTCCTTTCACCAGGTACTCAAAATAGGAGTCAACACCAGCTCCAATACCCGCATCCTGGGCCACCCACTTGCCTGTGAGCACATCAATGTGGTTGCCAACCTGGGAAAGAGATATAGTGTCAAGGCCAACAAAGGGTCAGCGCTCACCCTTCCCAACATCCCCTGCCTGCCCAGTGAGATGCGAGACAGGCACCCGAGTGCTTCCTGGAGACTCTCAGCTATGGAGGAGGTGGGTCAATGTCAGCCTTCTAGCACATTTGTACAGTGGACATGCTTCTCATGCACATTTATGAGGATTTAATTACACATGCTGTGCAAAAAATGAGGAAGAAAAATGATTTGGAGTGTTTATACCCTGCCTAGAGCGTGAGATGAGACAAGAACTTGCTGTTCCCACAATCTGTCTCGACTTTAGAGCTCAGAGCTTGTGATCCCAGTGTGTAAAGACATGAGACATACTTCCTACATTTCCAGAAACTGACTCCAGAGGGATACCCTGGAAGCTGATAGAGTACATGTTTCTAAAGAAAGGAACTGATAGCTAGGCAACAGGGATCCAAGGGGACTTTGCCAAAGTCACTGAGTTTTTGTTTTGTTTTTGTATTTTTTCACTTTTGAGCAACATGATTATCATCTTTTTAAAATAGATATTAAAATACTTAAAGGAAGATGTGCTTTTCATATTGCATGGGCTGTTTATTTGGTATTCAGTCAAAAAGAAATGGCTAATGGTTCAGTGTTCATTTGGGTTCCCCAGGGGCAGACCCCAGCGAAGACTGAAAGTAGCTGATGTAGAAGGTCAGTTTCTGGAAATACCAGTAGAGGAGAAGGCATAAGACCAGGAAGGGAAGACAGCCCATATGAGTGAGTTGAGGGGGGCGGTTCGAGCAAGTTTCTGCCATGGCACTGGAGTTGAGTCCTGCTGGGAGCTCAGGGATTCACACAGGGCAATATTCCCCAAGGTGAGACGGGCGGGTGCAGGAAGATGGAATATGCATCCATAAACTCCTATCTGTATCAGTCCCTGGTTGGGAATTGCTCATGAGTAACATTAAATTCCTGTCTTCCAGTCAAATGCAATCAGAGAAGGCTCCAAGCACCAGAGAAGGCCCACAGGCCAAGTGACATGGGTGATGGCAGTTGACAGACAGGTCAGGGTGCAAAGAAATGGGAAGGTTCAAAAGGCTATGGGCTGGGTACCGACAGGGTCCACTGCAGGTCTCTAGAGTGCCACCTTCTAAGGGATCTGTAAAGATTCCTCACATAATCCCTGCTTTTCAAGCTGACCTAGCGCAGGGCTCCACATAGAATGTGCCTAATACATGGATTATTTTGAAACAGTTTTTAGGAGTCATAATGACTAAGCAAAGGAAGTACTGATACATTCACATTACTGCTGAAGTAACTGAGAACCAGAGAGGTTAAGCAACTTCCCTACAGGCATACATACGACCCTAACTTAATTAGCCAGGAATCATGTTTCCTGAGAAAAGCTATTCAACATCTCTCTCTCACCACTGATGTTCAGAGAAAGCATCTAACCAATGCACAAAGACCCGAAACATTTGGGCCAGGTAGGTTAATGAGCCACGGGGCAACAAGCACATGACTGCTCCCTAGAAATCAGAGAAACTTGAGGCTCAGTGCTCAACACAGACCCTGCTCCCTGCTGTGGGTTGGGCTCTTAGGTTCTCTTTGCTTCTGTGCCCAAACATGAAAAGGGACTTGGCCTACTTTTAGTGCCCTGGGGCCAAGTCCTGGGCTACTCCAGAGGTTGCCCTGCATTTTTCTGGGCTTGACTATAACTAGATGCTCAGAGCCCTGGACCTCTTGGCTCACAGCCCAGAGCCCCAGGTGGCAGACTTGACTCACGCAGGAAGGGTAGTGGCCAACCTACCAGCCCAATATCGGATCGGCTCTCCCACAGGCGCATCAGGGCCACTCTGGCCACATCCTCAAACACAGGGTCTCCAGTGAGGCTGCTCAAGGTGGCAAATTCCACGATAAAGGTTCCGATTCCTGCTGTACAGGTGACAGGGGTCTCTCCTGGGTTCACGCCATGCAGCAGGTTCACCGTTCCATACGGCATCCCAGTGGGGGTCTGAAAGGCTAACCAATTAAAAACTTATCACTCCAGATAGGCCAGGAAGTAGGGATGGTTTTGACACAGGCCCAAAGCTTGAGATGTTGGCCAGCACGTTCTTCTTTTTCTTTTGGGTGATCTGCTAGAGTCTGAGCCACAGAAGGATAAACGTCACAATGGCAGAGCCTTTAGCAGCCACCTAACCCTGAACACTGCTCTGCCTGACCCTTGGGTTCCTTCCAATGATGAAGGCATATGGAGGCAGCCATGCTTCAGGTTGCCACACCCCACACAGCTCACCTCAGCTAGAGTGAATCTACTTTTACTTTATTTTTTTTACACTATGCCCTCTGAGGCCAGGCAGGAAACTCAGTATGAAGCAGACAAGGCTTAAGCTGTAGAAGTAGGGGTGTCTGTGGCACACAGACAAGAACATGCTGCACTGGCAGCTGATCACTGTACTCGGGACAGAGCACAGGGCCTCGTGCACCTGGCTAAGCCCTCATCACTGAGCAACATTCCTGGCCCTTATTTAAATTTTATTTTGAGACACAGTCTCACTAAATTGCCCAGGTTGGACTTAAATTTATGATCCTCTGCCCTTAGCCTCCCAAGTAGCCGGGATTATAGGTGTGTGCCACCATGCCCTGCCACTCATAGACTTCTTAAAGTATCATTCTGATCAAATAAACAGATCAGCAGATCCTACTTAGTTTCAAAGGAGCCATCTGACATTCCTGTTTCTCATAAAGAGTTTAAGGGCAAAATTATTTTTAAAAGAAAGAAAAAATATAAACCACTAAACCCCTGATAAGGTATGACCCCTAATTTATAGCCTAGGAAAATCATGGCTGTAAACTGATTGAGCCAAAGGTTATGCAGCAGCGTCAAACTGTGCCAAGCCAGTAATGCCTGCCCAGACCTCTCACCCTCACCCCAACCCTAGCCCAGCTCTGCCCACCACACCCGGTGCCTTCTGATTCAAGGCAAGAACTCAGCAACCAGTCTGAGATAGAAACTTCCTCTCAGGGCCAAAAGGTTAAACAACTACAGAGGAGTCTGTGCGTCACCAGCTATGAACTAAGCTGTCAAAACTTCCAAGAGCTACAGAGTCCTGCAGACACTATTTGTCAGGCATGAGTGGCAAGCAAGGAAAATGTGAAGTCACAACCAAGAAGGGCTCAAAGGAACATTTTAGAAAAGATAGGAAGTATTAAAAAGAAGGATATTGCTCCTTAATTTTCCTAATACTGCCAATAAATAGTCCATATGATAAGTCCCCCCAGACTACCCCCCCAAAAGAAGAAGAGTAACAAAATCTCCTCCTTTACCTACAGGATAGGTACTGGTGCTTACTTTATAATAACTCAATATGTACTTTTCAATAGGTATATTTTTCAATGCAAATTTTTATAAGTGAAAAAAAAAAAAAAAAAGGAGCAAAAAGGCAGCTTCCTTTAGGGATGACTCACATAGGACATAATGTTTGCTAGGAGACACTCAGGCCATAAGCCAAGGGTTATGAGTGAGACCCTGAATCCAGCAAACCTGCCTGCCTTGGTTCTCCCCAAGGATGAGCCAAGGGCTGCACACAGGGGATGAGTACAGGAGATGGCCAAGGAGTAGGGGAGCACACACTATGATGTGTTTGGGTGTGAGCAGCCCTTGGATCTCCACCCCACTCTGGAGGGAACACAGTGTCCAGCTGACGCTGCTGAGCCCAGAGTGGCTGCCCCACTGGACAAAAACAGTGGGGCTTAGCCTACAGCCCTGGATGCTGCTTAGCCACAAAACAAATTCCTCTCATCTCAACAGCATTTGAGGTTCTCTAAGCACTTTCTCCTGACCCTATTTCAGTCTCCCCAAAACTCACATTGTAGGGAGGAAGGAATTATGGCTTTCATTTGATAGACAGGGCAACTGAATGAAGGAGAGAGAAAATGGCTTGGTCACTGCTGGCTGGCAGAGCCAAGTCTAGAATCTTCGGCTTCTAATGCTCAGAACCACTCTGCCCAGGGGCCTTATTATTTCAGCAGTATGAGGGCCTGAGAAGAATAAAAGGGCTCAATTAAAATAAGGACAAGGGCCATCCACCCACTGGGCTGGTCTTTAGCCATGCCCACAGTTATCAGGTCAGCTGAACCCTTCTGGGTCAGTGCCTAGCAAACCGTTAAGATGCCCTGGACGCTCCAGATTTCTGTGATCAGAACCTAGGGGTAGGAATAGAGCATTTGGGTGACAAAACATCAGGAAATGATTCAGCGTGATCATTCTTGGCTCCAGTGAGGGAAGCAGGACACTAGATTTCACATCTGCCCCATCCCTGTATGGATCTTACCTGGGAGAAGTTTCCGGGCTGCCTCCTCAGCCATCCTCAGGAGAGGTCCTGAACAGGGCCATCCCGCCTCCACTTCTACCCCAGCCTTCTTTGACAACAGATGAGCCGACAGAAGTCCTCCTACCACTGCAGATGGCACAAAATGCAAATGATCACAGTCCTAACGACCAGTGTTTCCCTTGTGTAAATTAAACCTAAACACTGCTGGGTTGGTTCCCCAAGAAAGGGGCTGAAAGAGTCACCCCTTAATTCCTCATAATCCCATGTATTTGTAGACTATAAAGTCCACAAGGTTTTTCTTCTTGGTAGGCCACAAAAACAATGGCCATCTTTAAAGTCTATACTGCATACAAAGCACTAGGTATTGCTGCTCCCTCCTCAGATAAAAATACTAAGTTTTAGAGAGGCAACAGGCAAGACATTGCCCATCTATAATCCCAACACTTTGGGAGGGCGAGGCAAGAGGATCGCTGTGAGTTTGAGGCCAGCCTTGGCTACATGGTGAGTTCAGGTCAGTCTGAGACTATCTCACATAGTGCGATCTTGTCTCAAAAAAAAAAAGAAAGAAAAGATTCAATGAGGCAAAGTAACTTGCCCCAGGCCATTCAACTAGTTGGTGGTAGGGTCAGGTCTACTGACTCCAAAGCTTATGTTCATTCAACTTTGTTACACTGTCTCCCCTCAGCTGTCACATCTGGAGAGAGGAGTATAGTGGTTATTACTTCCCATTAATTTATCTATTTTAACTGATTATGCAATACTTAGGGCTTATAAAAACACATAAAGGTAATGTGTCTGAAATATGGATAACTAGATGTCAGAAATGGCTTTCTGACCAAAAACAAAAACTGGTTTTTTTAAAACTGACCTTGACCTTTAATTTCCCTCTCCTCCTGGTAGAAGGGCAACAAAAAACAAAGGAAGACCTGGCCAAAGTGGGTGTCTGACCAAAGGTCTCTGCATTAGTAGAGCCCTGGAAGGATGACACACTCTGTGTAGGGATGAATTAAAAACAGACCTTGAAAAAGACAAAAATAGTGCTCAAAAGGAAAGAACAACTGGGATAGGGGGAAGTAGAAAAGAAAGAAGGGAAAAGATGTGTGTGCGCGTGCATGTGTGTGTGTATACACAAGATAGATAAGTATACGAGTCTGTTAATTCCACAAAAAGAACAGTTTGTGTTTTCATTGTTTGACTATCTGATCATTTTTTAAAAATTATTTATTTATTTATTTATGTTTTAGGCTAGTCAAGTGAAGCAGTGGGAGTGGAGAAGGAACAAAGAAATCTGTAACTGGTTGTGATCAATTAGTTGTAAACACCACTGCACTCGGACCAGCCTGATCATTTTTTTCATGCCTAAGTCTTTTGTTTTTTTTCTAGTACCAGGGATCAAACTCACAACCTCACATAGGCACTTGTACCACTGAGGTAAATCCCTGGCCAATGCATAAGTCTTCTACTGAACAACTACTTTTAAGATAACAATATGCAATATATTAACTAGTATTAATTTCCTATTTTTTAAAAATTCTATATTGTTTTTATCCTTTTTGTTTTGTTTTTACAATAAAAGAATAGACCCTGCACATCTCACCTAGTACACAAAGGAATATTAGATGCTTCAAATCTGAGTGCCAAGTGAAAGGGAGGGAAAAATAAATAGATGAATAAATATCCCAGAGAATCAGCAATTCTAATCTATTACCCACAAAATCCTGCAGTTTGAATTCACACTATGTGGAAAGTCTAGAAACTCTCAAGCATGTAGCACACAGTAGGTTTTCATAGGTAGTACCTCTAGTGATATGGCAGAAACCATCAAAAACTGTATCTGGAAGAACCTAGGTTCAACCTAGACTTCAAAGAATCTACACGTAAAGTCTAGGAAATGAATGTACAACTAAAAAAGTAAAAATCATAAAACAAACACGGAAACAAAGCATTCTGAGTAATAGCCAAGAGAAACAACAGGAGAACAAGACCAACCAATAGTTCAGATAGTAGAATTATCAGATAAAATAGAAAATAAGTGTCATATGCTTAAAGAAATAAAAAAGGGGTTAGACTATATGAGCAAGCAGGGAGGAACAATAAAAATTATCAAGAATATTTATAACATGACTAAACGGACCTATAAAAAGTAAAGAAATAACATTAAAAATAGTAGGAACATATGTAATAGCTGATAAGACATCGCAGAATAGACATTAGACTTGAAGACAAACCCAAAAAGTTACCAAAAATGCAACACAAAGAGACAAAATTTCCTAAAACATAGCAGAGACATGGAGGATACAGTGAGTGAGAAGACGAAACATGTACCTAGTTGGAATTTCAAAAAAAGAAAAAAATGGGTAGAGGCCATTTTAAGTATTTGAAAGAAAATACTTAAGAACTCTTTCAAACAGATGAATGACAGCAATTCTCAAACCCAAGACCTTGAAACGAGATTATAAAAAGGATCTTCCATTTATATACATCATGGTAACACTGCAGAACATCAAAGAAATAAAGACTTTAAAAGCAGCCAGGGTTCATGTAAAATGAATGTTAAAGCTGGGAAACGGCTATGTTTAGTTCACTGTGCTATTTTCTCTACTTGTATATAGGCTAGCATTTCTATAATAAAAAGTTTATAGACGGGGCACCCAGAGGGGAAAAAAGATTAACTACAAAGAAATAATGAAGACTGACAGATTACGTCTTAATAATCATCAAACCAGAAGACAATGGAAAAGTTTCTTTAATGTGCTAAGAGAAAATAATCATATGTTCATATCAGAAATGAAAGTATAGTGATGACCTTCATTTACAGATGATACATTGGGCTCAGAAGTTGGGAGAGCCAGGCCTGGGGGTGTAGCTCTGTGGCAGAGCACTTGCATAGCATGCATGAATCCTGGGTTCAACTCCTGATAGCACAAAAGAGAGAAAGAAGAAGAAGTTGTGAGACATGGCAATGCTCACTGCCTCAAACGCGGCTAAACCAGGATTCAGCATCATGCTCGCCGTCCACTTTCTTCTTAATAAATTTTTATGGATCATAGATCTGGGATAAAGCTTCAGGGCCAGAACACATGAAACAAAGGGGAAGCATAACTCTGCCTTCTGGAGGTGACAACTGTAAGCTAGCGCTGTGGAAGCCTCATGAGAACCACTGGAGTCTTCTAAAAATACCAATTCTAGAACCGAACCCAGAGATCACAATTAAACTGAGGGTAAATCCCAGGCATGTAAACGTTTTAAAAGGTCCCAAGTCATTTTTAGGGCTAGCATAAAAATAATGCCCTTAATATGTACTGTCCAATATAATAATCACTAATCACACATGCTATTTAAATTTAAATGCAGTTCCTCAGCTACAACAGATACATACCAAATGCTCAAAGCCCACATGGGTAGTGGGTACTATACTGGCTAACACAGATTTCCATCAAGAAAATGTTCATAGCCAGGTGTGGTGGCGCATGCCTGTAATCCCAGCACCCAACAGGCAAGGCAGGAGGATCCTTCCAAGCTTAACACCGGTCTGGGCTACAAAGTGAGCTCAAGGCCAGTCTGAGCTACATAGCAAGACTCTATCTTAGATCATCCCTCAACCAAAAAAAAGAAAAAATGTTCAAATGGGAAGGGGCACTAGGGAGTGGAGAGGGAGAAAGGAAGGAAAAAGAAAAAAATGAGGAAAAAATGGAAACAAAGCTTTTGAAAATAAGGAGGGGAAGAGAGGTCAAACAGGGTAAGGGAAAGGAGAAAAATAGAATCAAGGTATAGCATGTTCAGGAACAAATTTCCTATGATGAATGTGGTCATTATGTATACCTAAAATGTGCCTTTAATTTTAAAAAATAATAACGTTTTAAAAAGCTTCAACAAAGCAGAGATTCTTGCTTATAGCACAAAGCCAATGTTATGTATGTAATTCTGGCCTATTTCTTTCCAGCAGTTTCTCTGTCTGTTCCTCACTTGCATGTCTATAACTAATCACAGAACCTGAGGTTGCCCTCCGCTCCTGCTAGAGCCCTGTCTGTCAGTCACGGGCTTTGGCCAAGCACCCGGGCAGGGTGGGCCCTGAAGATACTGTTTACCACCTTTGGTTTTCACAGCAGCAGGTCTATTCTCTTCTCTTCCAAAGGTCTAGAAAGCAGCTCTCACCTCGAATGTTGGTTTCAAACACAGAGGCGTTCACATCGATATCAAAGTCCACGTTGTTCTGGAGCACTTCAACCACTCTCTGGAATTCAGAGACATTCCCTAAAATCTGGAAAGAGACCTGACCATGAGGCACAGAGGTGCTGGATTCAGAGTTTGGGATCCTGTGCTGGTACAGCCCTCATTCACTCAATTAAAGACCTCCAGTTCCTGTCTTAAATCTAGTCACAGGGAAACAACCCTGAAAGCTAGGAATCAGAAACCCAGTAGCATGACACTGGTTAAGTAAATTTCTCAGAATCAATTAAAGAGTCCCTAGGTACTTTTTTTTTTTTAATATAGAGGGTCTCATTATATTTGTTTCTGTTGGCCTTAAACTTACTCTGTAGCCAGGTTGGCCTCAAATCCTCTTGCCTCAGCCTCCTGAATGCTGAGATTACAAGCATGTGTCACATACTTGGCTTAAGCTTCCATTTAAATGGATATGATACAAAGAATGTAGACTCCATAAGGAAATCTTATACAATGAGTATCAGTTGTTTTTAAACCCCCTTTTGTCACATTTGTTCTTGTGGAAAACATTACAGATTGGCTTCCAACCTTCTTTACTCAGACGCTTGCTTTCTCAGCCCCACGTTACTTGGTCACCTCTAACGCTTAGGGTACTGGGGACACTTCTGGAAAAGCTTATTTTCCTAATAACAGACACAGCTGGCATAGCTCTTCCACTGCCCTGAAAGCATACTTGATTTCTCAAGCTGGGGAACTGTTCAACCACGGGGTACTAAGCATGAGCATGAGAGCCAGTTCACTAATAGTAGAACAGAAAGGTACCAACAGCCTGGGTTCTGCTAGCATAGTTACATAGTGGATCCCATGCTAGAAATCACCTCTAGATTTTCTCTCACTTGAGAAAAATAAACCCTCTTTCTTTAAACCATCACCTACATGCACTCCAGATATCTTTTATTCTGATAACAGTACCCCAATTTTCCTCTGAAATCATTCTTCTACAGCCATTCCTGTGGCCTGAGGGAGACTACTGCCATGTCCCCAGCTATAGCATGGGCACCTGGTTTGGACTGGCCGCAGTACCATGTCCTCTGGCCAGTAACTGGTAGGTGCAGACTCAGTGAAGAGACAGGTCCTGGAATTCCTGGAAAATGCATACTTCTTTCTACATACAGTTTCCTAAATAAGTGGCACAGAGGTGAAACCAACCCCACCACATCTATTTCTTTCCATACTAAGAAAATCTTCGCATAAGCAGAGCCTTCATTTGCTTCTGAATTTCCCCAGAATGCCAAGCACAGCTCACAACGCAATTACTTGACACAAATGTTTATTCAATGATTACACAAATCTTTCTTCACACTGCAACGGGTGACCTCAAACAGAAATCTCATCATTTCCTGACTTCTTAAGAAATTCCAGTCGCTTTCCCTTGCACTAAATTAAAGATCAAAAGCCTTGACAGAATGTACAACATGCAGCATCTGGGTCCCCTTTATCCCGCCAGCTTTATTTCTTCCTTCTTCCCTCCCCAGCCACCTGGTGCTCCTTCCATGCTTGTCTGCCATAAGGTTTTGTTTTGTTTTTTGAGATAAGGTCTCACTATGCAGTCCAGGCTGGCCTTCAATACAGTGTCATTCTGTCTCAGCCTTCCACCTGCTGGGATTACAGATGTGTACCATCACACCCAGCTGCCATAATGTTTTTGCACTTGTTCTTTTCTGCCTAGAGTGTGCTTCCTCCACACTTTCCTGTCAGTACCTGTTTCTGCTTCAGATCCAACTCAAGTGTCATGTCTTGGCTTTAGTATAGGGCAGATACTTTTTTTATTTTTTTAGTACTGGCGAGTGAACTCACGACCTTGCACTTGCCAAGCAGGTGCTTGTGCTACTGAGCTAAATCCCTGGCCCAGGTAGATACTTTTGTTACAATCACTTGCAGAATTATGTTCCTTTCCTTTAGAGCACTCTCCTTAATTTGTAAGTATACATTCTTCAAGGTTATTCCTCGACCTTGGTTTCCCTTGCTAATCCCACACACTCCAGGCAAACAGGGGTCACGTCTGTTTAAACTCACCATTATCACTCCACAGTTCAGCACCGTGCCTGACATACAGGTGGTCCTCAATAAATATTTGGTGAATGGATTAATACATATGGATTAACATTAAGCAAAACAAATTATAAGCTGAATTGTATTAATCATATAAATAGCAAGTGAACCAAAAATAATGAAATAGGACAAAAGCTGTAAAATACTTTCTTGTGGCTTTCTTGCTTTTGCTTTGTTTTTTGAGACAGGGTCTTGCTCAGGTTGACAGGGAGTAGTTCAGATTGATCTTGGACTCACTCTACAACCCAGGCTGGCCTCCAACTCATGCTGATCTTCTTGCCTCAACCTCTTGAGTGCTAGGATAACAGGTGTGCACCACCAGGCCTGGCACTTGTGGCTTTTTAAAAAGAATATAGTCAAGTTTTGCAGTCATACAGAATTAAGTATCTTACCCATGTCATTTTACGTTTCTAAACATATCTCTTAGCTGTAAGAAGTAAAAGTACTTCTTTATGACGTTGTCAGAAGAAATAAGGTAATACAGTACTCCTAAAGCCTTATACATAAAATAGTAACTAGGATAGTTTGTTTTTATTTTCATGGCATATGGCTATTAGGATGTAGGCTGAAAAAAACAGAATATCAAAATCTTTGTATCCCTTACAGAATTATACATGGCTATCACAGGTCCCTCTACCTCACAAGTCTTCTATAAATGTTTACAAAATGGAATCAGAATAAGTTGGAATATTTGGTTTTCTCCTATTTATATTGGTAACCAGAGACAAATGGCTCAGAATCATGAAATAGAAGACCCAACAGAGGGATTTATTTCTATCTACAACCAAGCTAAAAAAGAGGAAAGATGTTGGTTACCCAATGGCAAAGAGAAAGAGAAACAGATGAGATACTTACCAGTAAGGTGTCCAGAGCATCAATGAGAGTCAGAGAAAAACTGTAAAAGGACAGAAATCCCAGCTGTTTAATAAGAAAACTAAACATCAATTATATGGCTGTTATTGACTAGATCCCACCATCAAACTACATGAGGCATTGGGATGTCTCTGCCTTCCCTACTTACCACAACAGAGAAACCACAGGGATCATCTGCCCCTCTTAATGTACCTGGAAGTGTGAGCTGCTCAATTGGAATTAAATACATCATCTATATTCTCTGGAACTCTTTTGTGCCATGAGGAGGCAGTATAAGATTGTAGCAGAAAGCCCAGGCTTTTCAGCACTTCACACACAGTAATTGCTGAAAAGCCATAGGACACAGTTGGTTTGACATAGTGAAAGGTTAGAAAGAATCTACTGTGTGCCAGTTAAAGCGTGATGAACTAAACTGTGCTACAAACAGTGTAAAATTAAAAGGTTACCAAAAATATGCTTATCAGGGGTTGTGTGCTGATAGATATTCACATTATGTTGTTACATGAAAAAGACAAGGTGGGGCTGGGGATTTAGCTCAGCGGCATAAGTGCCTGCCTTGCAAGCAGGCAGTCATGAGTTCGATCCCTGGTACCGATAAAAACGAAAAAAAAAGACCAAAAAAAAAAAAAAAGAAAAAGACAAGGTACAGAGGAGCAAAAACAGACATACTGACAGAAAGCAGATTAGCTGTTATTAGGGTCAGTGGTGATGGAAGGATGAACTATGAAGGGACACAAGAAAACATTTTAAAATGGAAGAAGCATTCTATACCTTGGCTGTGATAGTGGTTACTATATACATGAAACGGGGGTATTGCATTTTATGGAAATTATACACTCAAAGGTTAGTTTAAAAAAGGCCTACACCAAAAGTAAGTAAGTAAATAAATAAATAAATGAACCCAGGCATGGTGGCGCATGCCTGTAATCCCTACACCTGGGAAGCTGAGGCAGGAGGACTGTTGTGAGTTCAAGACCAGCCTGGGCTACAAAGTGCGCTTAAGGCCAGCCTGAACTGCACAGTGAGACTCTGTCTCAAAAAACAAACAAACAAAAAAACCTTCAAAGGCTTATATCCTACAAAATGGTATAAACCAAAAATATTTCTGAAAGAATATAAAAGAAAAGTAACAATGATTAGAGTTCTGAGGTCTGAGAGAGATTTACTTTATCATATGATTTTTTTTTTTTTTTCCACACTAGGGATTGAACTGAAGACCTTGCACTTGCCAGGTAAGCACTCATACTGCTGAGCTATATCCCTAGCTCCTCACACATGATTTTGTACTACATGAATTAGCCCTTGTTTTGTATTTTTTTCAACTAAAAAATGTAAACCAGAACAAGGTCTGAGTTTTCTTAACTTCTCTAGCTGCTAATATAGGAAGGAAGACACATTTATAAGTATGCAAACTTGACATATTTGCACTTAACTCCTAAAAGCATTAAGAGAATTAAATAAAATGACACAGTAAAATGCTTAGCATAGTGTTCAATAAATGCCAGCCTCTACTAATGAGGTGACTCGTCACTCACAAAGAACAAAACAGAATTCCAGTGCACATATTTTTATTCTCATAGAAGTGAGAAAGAAACCAGTAGACGATGAAAATGATAGTACAGAGAAGTGCTACAAAGAAAAGAAAACAAGTGACCTGTGAGAATGACCTGAAGAGAAGCGACTAGAGGTATGAATGACAAGAAACTATAAAATAAAGATAATGAAAGTGTGTTCACACAGTGAACCAATTACCAAGACTGTCAACACCCTCCCCTGGACCTGTTTGCCCACCTACAGAATGAAGGGGTTGGGCTTTCTGATACTTCAGCCACCATAATTCTAACTCTATAAACTTCCCCAAATTCCCACACCGGCTGTCAGTTACTGGTGACGCTGAGTCCAGAGGTCCAGCTAGCTAGGAAAATCAAGGACTTTATACACTTTGAGAAGCTAGGTAGATTCTGGAGGTGCTGGTTTAAATTTGGAGGGGCGCAGCCTAACCCCATCTAGGAACTTTCCAGAATCGGTGAGGAGACCTTTAAGCCACCCAAGTGAGCCTCCCTTGACCGCTTACACCGAGGCCCCTCTTGGCCCTCGACTTATACTACCTGCCCCAGGTGTCATGCCCATCACACGTGAGAGGTCGCAGCTCGTCGTAGGGAAAGGCATTTTCCAGATAGCTGTCGTAGGCGTGGTAGAACATGGCCTTGACTCGCTCCCTATGTGAGGGACCAGAAATAAGTCAGGGGGATTAGAATACAAAACGATATGGGAGAACAAGAAATACGACAAGAAATAGTGCGGAACGGGGGAATCACCAGCTGATTTCTGCCGAGGGTCCAGCAGCAGGACCCAAGCAAATACGTATGGGGAGAAAGTTGTCTTGGGAAGGAGGGAAAAGGAAGGAAACCGGTCCGCGCTTCCCATTCTCCAACTATTGAGGGGCGGGAGCTTGGCCTCCTTCACCTGTAGTGGGCAGGGTCCGGCGCGGTGCCGTCGGGACCTGGCGCACCATGGTACAGGGGCAGCAACGCGCACAGGAGGCTGAGCGGGATGATCAGCCGGAAAGGCATAGAGCTCGTAGTGGGTCAGTGCCGCCGCAGCAGCTGCAAGCACCGCCACTCGCTCATCCTGAACGCAACTGGTTCTTCCGGGGATCCGCATCACTACGCCTGCGCACCGAGAAATCAGCCATTGACTTCCGGACTACAAGCCCCAGAATGCAATGGGTGGCGAAGAGCGTGTAGGTGTATCCACAGTAGCCCAACCTGACATAAACGTGTCTTACAGAGAGTGGCTGCTGTTACTATTGTTACTAATTAATGTTTTAATAATGCTAGTTAAGATTTATTGAGTACTTGTATAACTAAAATAGCATAGAACACTTTAAAAGCATTATTTTTTTTTCATCATCTACTTTATTAAGCATTTATAAGCAGGGGCCCAATATTTGTTGAATGGACATAAATAAAATGAATGAAATAAGAGACCCTCCCCCAAAAAAGCAAATGCCAAGGTAGTGGCGGCTGCCTGTAATCCCAGCACTTGGAAGGCCAGAGCAGGAGGATCATTCCAAGCCAAGCTAAATTACATAGTGAGACCTTGTATTTAATAAAGGAAAGAAAGAAAGAAAAAAGTTCAGGTTTGACCAGTTAGAGGCAGTGAGTTTTCTAAACCAGTTCCCTTATTGTACAACAGCTTAAAATTATTTTTTCCAAAACTGCCACTCTTAGGTTTCCTGAAATCTTTTCATGTCTAGGAGTTCGTAAGTACTTTTATTTTTGGCTATGGTCACATCATCGTAATCCCTTTGGTCTTGATCCCAACTGAGAAGAGTGCTTTTCCCAGCACTTGAGACCATCTCACTGGTTGCAGCCTGCAGTGTCCCATTTGGGAATAAAGATCTTGAGAATTAATATAGCTTTGAGAAAGTTTGAAACTCATTTTTCCATTTTCCTTTTTGCAAGTTCCTAGAGTTTGGATAACACGTTAGACTATAGTAACACTTATGATTTTGATCAGTGTGAATGAATTTAAAGTCAAATCTGGGCTTCAGTTACAACCCTGCCACTGATGTACAATTTATATATGTCACCCAGGACAAGCCTCTTCCATTCTCTGAGCTCAGAGTCATCATGTTATCCATAGTTTCTTTACAAATGGCTCACCAATCAAAAGTCTACCAGGTCCTTCTTTGGGGAAAGAAGTTTTGTTTTTTCTCATCTGTAAATCAAGAATTATAGTAATACTTAATATTACTTGTGAGCTATTGTGTTATGTGTTATACTTGTCACGCTGGCAGAGAGCCAGTTGGTAGACATTAGGATGGTTTTGGAAACTCTTCTTGGAGGTGCCAAATGGACCACAGTAAGCTGAGATCTGGATAACAACACAGGGCACTGTATGAGTCTCCTGTTACAGCATAACAAATTACCACCAGCTTGGCGGCTTATAGCAACAGAAACTTATTTTGGGCCCTAAAAGACAGAAGCCTGAAATCAGTTTCACTAAGTCAAAATTAAATTTTTAGCAGGGACATTCATACTCTAAAAGCTCAAGGGCAGAATTCATTTCTTGCCTTTCTTCTAACTTCTGGCATTCTGTGTCTGTTTTTCACATCATCTCCTCTTTGAATGTGTGTCACACCTCCCTCTACCTCCCCCACCCCCATAGGGTCTCATACTGTAGCTCTGGTTAGCCTAGAACTCAAGGTAAATTATCCTACCTTGGCCTCCTGAATGCTGAGATTAGAGCCATGTACCACTATGCCTGGCTTGCTTCTCACCTTCATGGACACTTTTTATTGCGTTTCAAACCTACCTGGGTAATACATGATAATCTCCTATCTCAAGATTCTCAATCATATGTTTATAGACTCTTTTTCCAAATAGGCTAATAGGGTAAACATTTCTATGTCCCAGAAATAGGACCTAAATTTTTATTTTTAGGACCTGAAGTTTAAAGAGGTGTTTTTTAGCCTAGGAAACATTTGAAGTATTTTTCAGGTCTGGGCCTTTCTCTGTTCTGAAACTCAGCCTATCTTAATTGTCTTGAGCTTATCTTTTTTGTCCTCCATTCAAAACTCTAGATTAGATAAAAGGTTTGCAGAGAGGGTGGCACCAGGCTGCCTGAATTTGATAGTGATATGTCTCTATGAGTAATATCAAAATATTCATAATTTTTCTTTATTTTCTTTTCCTAGTTTGATGAAAATACTTATTTCCACAGTTATAGAATGAATAAAACCATGACTGATGTTTTCATAATCCATGTGACTAATTTCATAGTTCTATGATGAGAAAGAAAAATTTATTTGTACTCTCTGGAAAGTAGTAGCAGGTAGGCTGGCACATGCCTGAAATTCCAGCTCTCAGGAGGCTGAGGGGGGAGGATCGAAAGTTCAAGGCTAGCCTGGGCTACGTAGTGACTGCAAGACCAGTTTAGGCTATCATTAGACTCCATCTCAGGAAAAAAATAAAGGAAGCAAGGAAGAAAACAGACAAAGAGAAAGAAAGAAAAAGAATAAAGGGACAAAGGGAGAGAAAAAAAGAGTTTGAGACTCAGTGCTAGGCATACAATAAAAATTTCAAGGAAAGTCACAGCATTTTCCCTTGTAGCACTGGCAGTTTGCCTAGACAAAAAGACATCTGTTGGAGAATATTTGGAAAGATGGAGTCGTTGAGTCTGAATAAATAGAGCTGAGAGGACACTAGATCATATCAGTATCTGAGGTCACTGTCCTGGGACTCTACTGAATGGGGCAAGTCTTGGCCTGGTAGTCAGTAGACCGGGATTCTACTAATGAATTTACCAGTGTCTCTGTGATCTTGGACAAGCCACTTTGCCTTGTGGGGACTCAGTTTCCATGTCTGGAAAATGAGTGATTTTTACCTCTCAGTACAAGGAAAATATTGATGGTTCTATGCAAATTTACTGAAAAAAAACATCAGGAGATAGAATTCCATATCATCAACTACAAAAATCCTTCCTGAAAACATTGGTATAGTGGAATAAAACTGTAAGGTAATATTCCAAATGAAATTTGACTATTTATTAGCTGAACAAGGAGGAGAAAAAGAAAAAAGAAAAGGAAAAAAGAGAATGAAGAGGATGATGAGAAGGAGTGAGACAGGAGACGAGGGCATGGGAACCTAGATGTGACCAGTTCATTACAAGATCCTGGAGCACAGACACAGTTCCTAAATCTCTGCAGGTGAACTTCTGAGAACTCAAGGACAGCCTAGACCTGATGTCAATCCGAGGTGTGGGATACCCACACCTCTCTCGGGATCTCAGTGTAGAAATTCTCTGGGCAGCATAAAGGACCAAGAAGATCTTGCTATCATGGCTTTCCTCATGCTAGCCCACTCTGCACCCTCCAGGGTGTATTTTCATCCGGGTTTTTCCTCTTTTTCTCAGCCCAAGCTGGCTCTACAGAGCCAATTTCTCTCTCACTTTACTGTTACTTTTTCAAATAAACTTTGCCCAATTTTTTTTTGCATGTTTTGTTTGAGAAGAAAAGAACCTGGAATTTAACTCCAAAAGGAGAGGTGAGCAAAGCCCAGTAATGTGTAATCGGTGAGCCACTTTTAGAAGCAGGCTACTCGATAACATTAGTGCTTTTACAGGCATCAACACCATTAATCCTTATCACAACTCTTTAAGGGATTATTATTATTTGTATTTTATGTGTTTAAAATTGAAGCACAGGTTTTAAAAGCTGAGAAGTAGAAACAATCAATATCTCATCCCCAGCAAATATTGAAATCAAGATTTTTTTTTTTTTGAGACAGGGTCACATTATAGAGTCTGGGCTGACTCAAACTCACTATGTAACTCAGGCTGGCTTCATCTCTGGCAATCCTTCTGCCTCAGCCTCCCAATGCTGGAATTACAGATGTGTGCCACCACTCCTCATCTAAAGTCAAGATTTGGATCCAGATATTCTCTACCTCATTAATAAAAATAATTAAAACATCAGTATAGAATTTAAAAATGACAATCTGGTCAACCTCTACAGCATACTCTAGTAGCATGATTTGATTCCTGAATCCACATTCCTTTATTTTTTGCTGGAAAGACAGAAGAAAAATTTCAATTCCTTGAGGTCAGAAGCTAGATTCCTTTTGTCCCCAGTACGCTTGCCTGTACGCAGTGGAGTATCTGGGAATCCCTTTTCTAACCAGTAAAGGTCAACTGATGCCAGAAATTTTTGTTAAATCCCAGGACAGAGCCTGCACATTACATACTTTCAGGCTATCCAGAAATACTTAGTCTATTCCTGGGAAATTCCCCATCTGTTGCCTTGTTGAAATGCTTGCATTTCCCCTGTGCCCAGCATGTCCAAATTCTCAGATCAGTAACTCCCTTGTCAGAGCCCCAGACCATGTTTTTATAATGTTCATATTCCCTGTGAACTCAGACCTGTCACTAAATCTGCCACTGAAGTGTGTACTTAAAAATGATATATTCTATTATGTGCACTTTACCATATTCTTTTTAAAATTAAAAAAGGAAAAATAAATGGAAAGTGATAAACACAATTGTGGGGTTTTCCATGCTATGGACTGCTATCTTTGGAAATATCCATTTCTTTCAAAGACTGTCCTTCTTGAAGTGGAAGTGGGAATGGGAGATGTCCAAAGTAGATGCTTTCTCTGCTTGGTTGATGATGTGGAACTAGCTCTGTCCTGTTCCAGGCTGAGGGAAGGAAGAGATCCATGTCCTACAGAGTTCTCCCGTCAGCCTATCTATCCTGTAGCTGCCAAATTCTGCTGCTAGTCAACTGTGCCAGGTCAGGAGGAAAAAAAAAAGTATAGGGAACGAAACCTTATTGAGAACCTTATAATATTCATCTGCTTTGCTATTTCTGCTTCAGGAAATGACTACATTTCAGAGATGTCTTCTAGATGTAGCTGTCTTTTGGTCTTTAAGTCTGTCCCAGGATCCTGCCTCTTCTGTGTTTGTTAGTACAGGAATTGAATTCGGGACCTGGTGCTTGCCAGGTAGGCGCTGTGCCACTGAGTTATATCCCTGGCCCTCTTCTGTTTATTAAGGATCAAAGGTTGCAGCATATTTGACCTAGCATCCAGTTCTTTGGTACTAAGTTGTAGTATTGTATACGACTCCCAGACAATTCAGGTGTTGGCCTACAAAAAAGATGAACTGGCCACGTGAGGCTGCAGGGCCTGGATGGAGGGACTGAGGCATGTCCTGGGTCTGTTGGGGAATGTCCTCCTGAAGAAAGTCACTGTCACACAGATGCTCATATTAGGACCCAGGAAGAATCAAGTATGTGGAAAATAAGAGAAATAGAGAAACCGGTGGAGGATACTTGCCAGGAAGCCAAAAGGAAAATGTTACCTAACAGTTCATACCAGATGTGTAGTGATGGTTTTGATGAAGAAAGTCAGAGAGGATACTGGAGGCCAAAGAGTGAAATTCCTGGGACACAGGAAGATGATTTCCTTAGGCAAAATCCTGGAACAAGAAATTATATGATTATGGCGCTAATAAGCAAGACAGATGAGGTCAGAGTGCTCATAAGGAGTTATACCCCAAGAGTGAAACAGATAGTGGTCTGCGAGATGTTACCAATGGGAAGAAAATATCTCCCAGATAAAATCATCTACCCACAAATTCCACAAACATAAGAAAAAAGTCCACAAAAAGAGGCACATAAAAAGTTCACACAAAAAGGCAGAAGAAAAGCAAGAAGGAACCTACAGGTGTAACAGCAGATTCCTCAAACAAGGTTTTTTGTGTTTTGTTTTGTTTTTTTGTGGGTACTGGGACTCAACGTCAAGGCCTCATGTTTGCCAGGCAGGCACTTATGTCTGCTAACCTATATCCCCAACCCCTTCCCAACAAGTAAGTTCTCAAAGAAATCAGTGCTTCTAGTACCAAAAAAAAAAAAAAAAAAAAAAAAAAAGAAAAGAAAAGAAAGAAGAAGAAGAAGGAGAAAAAGCAACCACATAAGCACAAGAAAAAGAAAAAAGTGTCTCAAAAAGTCAGCCTTATTTTTAGGGTCAGAAAATCACACTTCCCGGTCAGATGATTCAGCATTCAGTCGTTGGGAAGAAAGTGAGGAAAGAGACACTAAGAAGATTAGAAGGAAAAGTCCACGTCCCTGTAACTAACAATAAAATACAAAATAAGGACAAATAAGCACACAAGTTGGAAGGTGGCTACAATGACAGATCTGCTGAGAGCTCAGAGGATGACTACATGGGAAAGAAATATTCCTGTTTCCCCCTGGACTCTAGATACTTAAAGCTCATCCACACATACTCCGAGGAGTTTCTGCTAGTGACTCCTTCAGCATAGAGGGTCTGAGGTCAGAGCTGTTCTGTGCCATCTCAAAGAGTTTTGACAGACTCTTTGTCTTCTATTTTGGCCTGTTAGACTTGATCCCCTTTTCTTATTAATAGGGAATCTGGTATTTTGGTACAAAGGTTTCTCAAAGAGATTATTTTGATTATTAATCACATTTAGTGTGGGGCACATATATAGTAAAGTAAAGGACCCAGAAAGCTGCATCCAATATTGATCAGAGTACACCTATTAGATGTTGAATTGGGGGAAATTAAGGTTGGATGGATTGGAAACAGTGCTATGTACACTGGTCAGACAAGGGAATGCTGCGCTGCTCCCTGTCATTTATATAGCAGGTGTCAAAAGTAACTTGGCTCCAGCTTTGGAGTTTTGATCATTCTGTGTGCTTTGATCTCACAGTTGTGGTCTAGTTTGTTTAATGAGGAAATGGACACAGGAACACACTTTTGCCTTTTTCAGTAACCTTCACAGACAACTGTTAAAGGATTACGACAAAATGCAAAATTATATCCAGTAAATATTCACTCAGTAGAGCAACTCTCCCCTAAGGGGAGGACATTTAAAAGGGATAAGAAGGGGCTGGGAATTTAGCTCAGCGGCATAAGCGCCTGCCTTGCAAGCAGGCAGTCGTGAGTTCGATCCCTGGTACCGATAAAAATGAAAAAGACCAAAAAAAAAAAAAAAAAAAAAAAGAAAAAGACCAAAAAAAGGGGGGGGGGATAAGAAGAAAAAATACAGAAATAAAAGAAGAAAAAGTGATTAAAAACAAGGCCAAAGGCAGATTACCCAAGCCTCAGGGAACTGAAGACAGGAGAAAATGAGAGGGAGAAAACAAAAGTAAGAACAAAACAAAATACAAACTAAAAGCAATGTGCACACTCACACACACAAAAAGAAACAAGTGATCCCCTAAAAAGCTGAATTTAAAACATTTTAAAAGACTCATAGCAAAGAAAAAAAGAGAGACATTTTCTCTGTGATTTCAAGCCTGTGGTTATGTTTTGGGGTCTACAGTTTTGTGGGAATGTCCAGTTTAAGGCATGATCGCTTCTAGGCCCTTGGGCTAAGATTAGGTGTAATGTAAGACATGACTTTGCTTTTGCTGGTAGACTAGAGAGGCAGCCAGAGCCCAGACCTGTGCAAGGTGAGCCCACAAAGCCAGCTGTGTTTTTGGGCAGTTTGGGACTTTCACAGAAATTCAGGCTGAACCTTGCCTCTGATCATGGGGGTAGGGCTTGAGTAGCTTAGCTTCTGTCTTATTTTTCTTGCTGCTGAGATAAAATGCGTGACACCCAAAGTTAAAAGGGAAAAGGTTTACTTAGCTCATAGTCTATAGGGGTTTCAATACATAATCAGCAGGCTCCAAGGCAGGGTGGTGCGGCACACAGGCCCAGCAAGGAGAAATATTCATAGTGGTCAGAAGGCAGCAAAGCAACAAGAGAGGGCCTTTAACAGCATGTTTTTCTCCCTTATATTTTATCCAGACTACTTAAAGTGGGTAGCACTTACACCCTTAATCCTAGTGCCCTTGATCCTACATTACACCGTGAATCAATCCCACGTCACACACTCTTAGATGCAGCCAAAGGCCTAGAAGTGATCACGTCTGCAAAAGCCCCACCTTCGAGCCATGACAGTTTATAACACGCAGGGCATCTCCTGCCAATCTGACCGTGGTTCCTTGATCATGCATGTCTCCCGTGGATGTTCCTTACCCAGTCCCTGTGGGAGTTTAACACTGGAAGCGCTGAGACAAAGCTAACCCACTGCTGCTGTGGGTCCTGGGTTCCTTTGCTCATCCCTAAAATAGTGTCCAACAGGCACTCTCTCTAGGGGCACGGTAGGCACCTGACTGAAATTACTCACCTGCTGGTGTAGCGCACGTCAACCACTGCTCCGTTTCACTGGTGCATTTCTCCCTGAAGGCCTCTGGAGTTGTCAGCTTGCACTGTGTCTCTGCAGAGAGACATTCCTTTCCCTTTCCATGAGCCAGAAGCCAAAGAGAAAGTGCAGATTGTCACTTCCTGTTTCTGCACTGTGCTCTGATTCTTTGATTTCCACATGGTCTCCAATTTTCTCTTCAAATCCTTTCTGAGACCCAAGGACCCACCTTCCTCCTCCTTTTCTTCCTCAGGTTGTTGTTCTTCAGTATCTGGGTTCCAAATCTTGGAGAGGCTGATTTGTTGCTGCTTTCTGCTCTGCTGTCATGACTCACAAGGAAAGCCTTATAAAAATGTTAGTATCAACTGCACTAAACTGCCTGTTATTAAGAAAACTGTTCCAAAAAAGAAAACAAAAAACATAGTCCAAAATATGTGACTAAGGTAAAAAGATGGCTGTGTGATGTTTCAGTGTCATGATAAATCTTGACTAGCGAGTCTACTTAAGCGTCATCTGTCTCTGAAGAAAACTTGTAACGTCATTTACATAACTTAATGAGGTTCAGGTATTACGTAATCTTGTAAAGTAATACAATGTGGCAATTTCCTTTTCTGTAGTAGCCAGGGGAATACCAAAAGTTATGTTTGATAACCTTGTATAACAGGATTATCAAACAAAATGATATTAATTCATTTTTATTTAATAAAATTTCAAAATTTTTATTTTCCATGACTTCAAACACTCTAGTTTTTATTTTCTGTTTTGCCATCCTGCTAGTCCCTTCATTGAGTTAAATGAAACTTTGACCCATACTTACTGTCTATTTGTATGAGAAAAATGTTTTTAACATGCTGAGAATTAGCCTTGACACAGTGTGAGACCTTGGTTTAAGTAATATGCAGACTCATGATATCTCTTTGATATAGGTGTAGCCTCATTTTTCAGATGTGAAGGCAGAGACTAAAAAAAATGAAGAATTTTCTTAGTGTCAAGAGCTTTGCTAATCAGTATTTTTCTCCTTCCCTGGAAACACTGTTTGTTCACTGATCCAAAACATCGTGTGAGGAGGCTGAGGTACGGGGATTTCTGTGAGTTGGAAGCCAACCTAGGTTACATAAGTGAGTTCAAGGGCAGCCTGCACTACATAGTGAGACCCTGTCTCAAAAAAAATCACTACATCTCTTGGGCACTTACTATGTGTCAAGTACTCTTCTAACTTGCCATGACAGAAATATTCAGATACATGCTCCTCCTTCGTATATCTCTGATGTGAAAGATGCAAAAATAAATATGAAGAGGTATGGATTGCGATGGGGCAAAGAGAGGGCTGTAATAGAACTGAGGAAATGTGTAAGGTTTATAGGCATGAATTCAGGGAAGATTTCCTGGAGTAAGTGGTACCTGAATAAATATGCATTCATGGGGCCAAACATGCAAGAAAGAATCCGCTCAAAATAAATCTCCACCCATGTGTGCTGGTGCATACCTGTAACTCCAGCACTCTGAGAGGCTCAGACAGGAGGATCAAAAGTTCAAACCCAGTTTGGGCAGCTTAGCAATTTAGCAAGGCCATGTCTCAATATAAAAAAGGCTGGGGATGTCGTTCAGTGCAAGGTCCTGAGTTCAGTTCCCAGGGCTGGTGTATTACATTCTCATTGCTGAGACACAGCACTCGACACCCAAAACTTAAAGTAGAAATTTAATTTGCCTCCTGGTTTCAGGGGATTCAGTCCATCCTCCCTTGGCTCCAAGGCAGGAACGTCATGGCAGAAGGACACCTGGCAGAACAAAATTGCTTAGTTCATGGGGACCAGGAAGCAGAGGAAGGAAACAGTGCCAGAGACGAAGGTCAGGGACCACACATAGAGCCCAAGGCCACACCTCCATGACCCACCCAGGCACCCACAGACTATTCCACCAGCCCCTGGGTAGATCCCAAAACCAATCGAATTTCCACTCTACGCTAACCGCCACTGCTGGGATGTAACTCAATGGTAAAACATTTTCCTAGCATGCAGGAGGCCTGTATCTGATCCTCAGTATCAAAAAAAAAAAAGTTTGATTCCTTAGTGCAGGATAAAGAGTTTCTCATCTGACTGTGCACCCTTACCTCTTCACATTACCTTCCCCTCCTCACCAGCTATTCTGTTGCAAGTACCATTAAGTCATGTTATATTCTCACCCTACTCCTGTTATATTCTTTTGCACCATCTGCTTCATCCTGCTGAAACAACTTCCCCTCACCATCACTCCTGTCCCTTACTTGTCCCACAGGACTTAGCTTAGGCATCACCTTTGTACTTAGCTTAGGCATCACCTTCTCTGAGAAGCATTCCCTTCCTCCAGGCTATGTCAGAGGACTCTCATCTCTCCAAATGTCCCCCGTATCCCTCAGCCCTGTCCTCCTCCTCCTTCACCTTCTATCTTGACACTTATCACATTGCATTATCATTGTTTGCTTATTTGTCTTTCTCCCCTACTCTGCTGACTGCTACCTGGGGAAGGATCCTGTCTGCTTCTGGTTCTGGCAAATGCTCAGTAAACATGCACTGAATAAAAGAATGAGGCAGGATACTAAAAGCTGTAGAGAACACAGAAGAAAGAAAGACGAAATCGTTAAATAACCTGTGCCCTTCACTAATCTTAACCAGAAGCCCTTAACTTGTGAGCCCTTCAGAGTGGTAGAAGCAGAGTGTGTATCTGAGTGTGGTGGCACACACCCATAATCCAGCATTTGGAAGGCTGAGGCAGGGTGATGGCTGTGAGTTCAAGGCCAGCCTGAACTGCCTCAAAAGAGTCTCAAAAAAGAAGAGGAGGGGGAGGAAGAGGAGGATAGGAAGAAGAAAGAGGAGGAGAAAGAGATGGAGGGGAAGGAGGTGGAGAAGGAGAAGAGTGTAGTGGCCAGTTCTGTGGACTAACAAACAAAGTAGGGTCCAGAGGTGTTCAAGTGATTCCCTCACATTACCTCATTTCATTCTCACAGCAATGCTATGAAGCAGGCACTGTTTCTCTTCATTTGTTACTGATGAGCTCAGAGAGGCCACTGGACAGGCCCTAAACCTCTCAGGAAAAGGCAGTATCCAAAGATGCTTTGAAGGAGTGCAGTGGACTTGAAGGAGACTACAGAACCTTAGGAGCTTTGTGAAATAGAAGAAAGACAGGGCTTCATGAAAAAGTTATTCTATGTTGGCAACGCAAGATAAATTTACTACTAGAAAATTAATGCGTTTGTCATATTCCTATCTTAAAGATGGTAAACCCTATAATCATCTCGTTAGGTAATAAAAGAGGATTTGAAAAACTCAAAACATTTATTTGTTTTTTGAAGACAGCATCTCACTAGGAAAATCAGGCTGGACTTCCGGGAGAACATGGTAGACAAATAACAGCAGCCACGGAAGCTCTCTGAGATTACCAGTTTAGAATCCAGGAGTGGTGCCGTGTGAGGAGTCCTACGCGAGGGGAGATGTACCCTGCTGACCCAGGAACGAACTAAGCTGAGAGAAACCATCTGGAAATGCAATCCTGATGCTATAACAGGAAGAGATAAAATCTCAGTGCGGAAGCTGGATCCTGCGCCATTGGAAGCCCCGATTTGAATTTCCTGCTGCCCATACTGCGTCCCAATCCGCGCAATAGTGCGTCCCAATCCGCACGGCAGGGAGAGAGACGCACGAAAGCTCTGAGAGCTGGAATCGGCAAACCAAATGGCTTTGAGAGCGGGACTGGCAGGGAGCCCTGCATCAACTTGCGGTGAGTGAGAGAAATGGGGACCCTTTCATAGACTAGGAGGCTCCAACAGAGGACATTCTGGGAACGAGCAGACTAGCCAGAACAGGGCCCTGCACTGACTTTAGTCGCATATTCCCCTCTCAAGCAGGAGTGGTGGGGAGCACTTGGCCTGGTGATGCCATGGACTAAGATCCAGGCTAGCCCAAATCAGGTCCCTGCACCTGGCGGTGTACCCTAGCAGTGAAGCCTTCACTAGGTTGATCTGGAGGGGCGGGCCCAGCAGAGGCTGCCCAGGTCTGTGTCTCCCTAGTACACTGCAGTGGGTGGGAACACCTAGCCGGCGGATTCAAACAAACTGTAACAAAGAGAAAAAAAAACTGGGCCTCCTACATACGCTTGTATGGAAGGAACAAAAAGTATGGGAAAAGGGAGCAACAAGAAAGGGTCCTCAGTCCCCAATCCTGAGAACACTGATCCAGGAAAGGTAAATGCAAAAGAAAATGAAGACAGAAAATATGCAGTATCTGACACGGCACCTATAGACATAAAGTGGTATCTCTGGAGCCTCATAGACGAGTTCAAAAATGAAGTATTTAAAGAAATAAAGCAAGAAATAAGTAGAATAGTTAGAGAAATGCTAAGCACAGCCAAAGAAAAAACAGATGGTGGAATGGAAGAACAGAAAAAAAGGGGAGAATTGTTTGATGGAGAAAATAGAGAAAACATAGAATATGTGAAGCAGGTTCAAAGAGACTACCAGGAAACTAAAAACTCTATTGAAAGCTGGCATAACAGCTTGAAAGAAACTAAGGATAGATTATCAGAACTGGAGGACAGATTTGTAAGGTAGAAGCATGAAATGAGAAACTTCTTAAAAATAACAAGAAAACAAACAGCAATAATACAAAGACTAGAAGATGATAAGAGGATCTATAACTTAAGAATTAAAACATAAAAGAAGAAGTAGGGACTCAAACAAATGAACTACAAAAGCTATTCTCAGAAATAATCCAGGAGAATTTCCCTAATTTAGCAAAAGGTAAAGATACTCAGAGGTATGAGGCATACAGGACCCCAGCCACCTACAACCCAAACAGAGCTACACCCAGGCATATAATAATCAAAATTCCAGAAATCCAATATAAGAACAGAATATTAAAAGCCGTCAGAGACAAGAAACAGATCACTTACAAGGGAACACCCATGAGAATTACAGCAGACTTCTCGGCACAAACCATCAAATCACGAAGAGCGTGGGGGGAATAATTCAAGCTTTGAAAGATAATAACCTCCAGCCAAGATTGATATATCCTGCACAACTGTCCCTGGAAATTGATGGAAAAACAAGGTGCTTCCAGGATAAAGAGGAACTAAGGGAATTTGCAACTACCAATCAACTCTACAGAGATTACTGCAGGATATTCTAAAAATGAAAAATACCAAGATTCCAGAAACAGTGGCAAAGCGGCCACAATGAATGGAGCAGAAAGTGAAATGAAGAAGACAAACTGACAACTAATGACAGAAAAAGAGCTCAACAGAAATGAGGCAGAGAAGGTTGGATAGTAGGAACAGCCATTTTGGAGAAAACAAGACATCATAATAGGTAGTGCTGATTTAATATCCTCTTGTTTTGAAGTCCCATCAAGCTTTTGTTCTTCTGTCTCCATCGGTTTTAACATGTTGTATCTTATTGGATTTTATTATATGTGATAATATAAACAAAACTTTTATAGACAAGGAGATTATACAGAAACCATTGTTC